TTTTTTTTTTTATAGAAGCATATTTTTCCTCTAAAGTTATTATTGATAATTAGCTTATCATTTCTCAATCAAATTATTTCTTGTTATGTGCATAGCCTCTTAGGAGCTTAAAAGAGCCCATGGGAAATTGGGGCAGGGTCTATCCAGCCCAGTATCTTGTCTGACTGTGACACCAGCAGCTATTTTATAAGAGAACAGAATGAGTATCTACTTTATAGATTATATTAAAATAAACTTCAAAAACTCTTGATGATTTTTATAAGATTCTGCTCATCAGTGAGCATAAACTCCTAATGTTTTTCTCTGATACTGTGGTAATTAATTTGATCTCTGCTGTTTGTGATTCTAGATTGGTTCATTCTGGCTCTGGATGTCGATCCCCTTCTCTTGGATCTGACCTTACATTTGCTACCAGGACAGGCTCTCGGCAGGGTATTGAGATGCATCTCTTCCGGGTGGAGACACATCGGGACCTGTCAACCTGGACAAGGATACTTGTTCAGGGTTGCCATGCTGCTGCTGAGCTGATCAAGGAAGTCTCTCTAGGTAGAGATGTTGACATTTCATTTCTAACAGTAATTAAATGGAAATTCTATACAGTTGTGTGCCACATAACAACTTTTTGGTCAATGACAGACCACACATATGTCAGTGCTTCCATAAGACTATACTACTGTTTTTTTACCATACCTTTTGTATATTTAGATATGTTTAAATACGCAGATACTTACCATTGTGTTACAGTTGCCTATAGTATTCAATACAGTAAACTGCTGTACAGATTCGTAGCCTAGGAACAATAGGCTGTACCATATAGCCTAGGTGTAGAGGAGGCTATACACCATCTAGATTTGTGTAACTACACTACAGCCGGGTGTTATGGCAGGCACCTATAGTCCCACCTACTCAGGAGGCTGAGGCAAGTGGATTGCTTGAGCCCAAGAGTTTGAGATTGCTGTGAGCTATGATGCCAAGGCACTCTCTACCCAGGGAAACACAGGGAGACTCTAAAAAAAAAAAGTGTAAATACATTCTATGATGTTCACATAGAGACAAAATTGCCTTATGTTATACTTCTCAGAATGTATCCCCATTGTTAAGTGACCCATGACTGTACTTTAATCTATTTTAAAGTAAAACCATTATCATATATTCCAGTCTTTAAAATGTGCTAAAATGCACATTGCTAGAAGATAATGATAGAAAGAAAACAGGATTTTCTGTTTCACTGGCAAAGTTTTCCTAAACTTGATACATGGCCCTGAGCACATTCCTAACACCCTATGAACAATATGATATTTTTACTATTTATTGTATTAAGCTGCATTTAGTGAAAGACAGATTTACCGAGTTTTAGATACATTGACTCTCTAGTTAAGTTTTAGATTCCGGTGGATGGGCTGTGCTAGCACATGCTTGTGTCTCAGCTACTTGGGAGGCTGAGGCAAGAGGATCGCTTGAGCCCAAGAGTTTGAGGTTGCTGTGAGCTGTGATGTCACATCACTCTACCCAGGGTGACAGAGTGAGATTCTGTCTCAAAGAAAAAAAGTGTTAGAATCTTAAATTATGAGTAGACACCCATAAAATATGAGCATCTGGCCATAAGCTATAGAAAAATAAAGGATTTAGAATAGTTTTTTTTTTTAAGTTTGAAAATGTGTGTACAACATTTACTCAAATAAGCATCTAATGGAGGAATAAGCCTGGTGTCTCTGTCCGTTGGGGAAGCGCCCTCTTGTGGCTACTCTATGAATTTGGGGTATTGTTTCATATACAGTATATGTATTTCCATGTGTGTGTGTATAGATATTTCCAAATTGCTCTTAATTTCACTAAGAACAGAGACTGTGCAAAATACAGCTATAGTTAAAGTTTCTGACATGGTTTCATTACCTTGACTGTCTCGGTTTACTTTTTTTTTTTAGAGACAGAGTCTCACTTTGTCACCTTGATAGAGTGCTGGGACGTCACAGCGCACAGCAACCTTAAACTCTTGGGCTCAAGTGATTCTCTTGCCTCAGCCTCCCAAGAAGGGGGGACTACAGGCACCTGCCACAACACCTGGCTATTTTTAGAGATGAAGTCTCACTCTGGCTCAGGCTGGTCTCAAACCTGTGAGCTCAGGCAATCCACCCACCTTGGCCTCCAAGGTGCTGGGATTACAGGCATGAGCCACCATGCCTGGTCTGGTTTATTTAATTCTGATCCTCTCTTTTCAGTGTACTTGATTTTATAAATCTAGTTTTATGGGCTGGGCACAGTGGCTCCCACCTGTAATCCTAGCACTCTGGGAGGTTGAAGCAGGTAGATTGCCTGAGCTCATGGATTGAAAACCAGGCTGAGCTAGAGCGAGACCCCATCTCTAAAAATAGCCAGACGTTGTGGCAGGTGCCTATTGTCCCAGCTATTTGGGAGGCTGAGACAAGAGAATCACTTGAGCCCAGGACTTTGAGATGGCTGTAAGCTATGACACCACAGCACTCTACTGAGGGTGACAAAGTGAGACTCTGTCTTAAAAATACATATATAAATAAATATATGTTTTATTAATATGTTTTATTAATAGTTTTATTAATACACAAAGAGAAAATGGACTTGGCACCTATACCTCAGCAGTTACGGCAGTGGCCACATACACCGTGGCTGGTGGGTTGGAACCTGGCCCTGGCCTGCCAAACAACAATGACGACTACAACAAAAAAATAGCCGGACGTTGTGGCGGGCTCCTATAGTCCCAGCTACTTGGGAGGCTGAGGCAAGAGAATCAATTACCTAAGCCCATGAGCTGGAGGTTGCTGTGAGCTGTGATGTCACGGCATTCTACCCAGGGGGACACCTTGAGGCTCTGTCTCAAAAAAAAAAAGGAACTGCAAGGTAGCACTTCCATAGGTCATCTGTCAGTCACAGAGACAGGTGGGGTTTTTTCAGTGTTGTCTAAATGATACAATTCTTTAACTACTTAAGACTTGCCTGATATTTTCCTCACAATCACAATGATGATTTAAGTAATGGTGCCAATGACTAAGAAGGCCCTCCTTGAACATCTACAAAAGACATCCACATTTTCTTTCTCTTGTCTCTCCACATTTTCTTTCTTTCTTT